ACATGCCGAGTTCACTCCCCCAGGCCAAAACCCCAGGGACCTGCCCAGGGACACACACAGCTGTGAAGGACTGTGGGCACCCCAGGGAAGAAGTGCAGGTCCCACCTGTACTGCCTGGCTCTGTCCATGTACTCATGCTGCTCCATGCCCTGGGAATCCGCTGCCGACACGTCAATGATGTTGCTGCAGAGACACGAGACAGTGGCTCCCACTGGAGGATCATTACTCCCCCTCAGTTCCCTCCCTATCTCAGAGCATCCTCTGACCAAGGCAGACAAAATCCAGCACCCACCAGACCAGCGCCCACCAGACCAGCACCCCAAAACAAACATCTCAAGGCCAAACTCGCCCAATGAATGCTGCCAGCTGGCCACAAGTACACCAGGCTGGACTGGCAGTTCGCCAGGAAGGAAATGCCAGGGACTGTTTGCCCACAGCTGGCCTGGGGCAGAGGGAGGCAGGCAGAGGCTGCAGGAAGCTGGGGGCTGGTCTGGGCTCTGGGGAGCTTGGCATGGAGCCACCTGGAGAAAAAAGAACCACTGGGAGGACAATGTCCTTGGCAGATATTCTGAGAGGCCCTGTACCAGGCCCTGGGCTCACAGAGGACCTGGGCGCTTGCCCAGGGCCCTGCCACAGCCGCATTGTGTGCACCCTGCAGCAAAGCAGTGCTCAGAGCTGCTGTGGCCCTGCATGCTGGACACACACCAGTGGCCTCTAGTTCTCCAATGTCAGGCAGGGGAGCAGAGGGGTCTATGAGCATCCCAAAGCCCTCCCAGCCAGGTTGGATGCAGCCCTCTCCCTACATTGCCCCTGCACACTTGAGGAAAAGCCTCCTCAGCAGGGGATCCAGTGCTGCTGCCTCTCCAGCCACCCTCTCCACATCCCTAGGGACTCACTTTCTTATACAAACCCTGTCCCTACTTTCAGCCCAGCAGCCAAAGGGTTACCTCACATCTGGGGTTTTGTCTCTGTGTCCCCATGTGGGGCTCTGCCACAGCTCCTCCCTTCCCCTCAGCACATACGGCTGATCACCAGGGCCCTCAGCCAGGCAGCCCCCCAGGGTCACCGCTGGTCCCCGAGGCGTGCTGCCTGCCCCATGGGCACGGCCTGAGGCTTACATGGCTGTTTTGGCGAGAATGGAGGACAGCATGGCCTGCTCATCGGTGCGTGCCGACGGGAGGTTGTGGTAGCTCTGCTCCGCTCCGTTCAGCACCTTGCTGGGCGGGCTGGCTGCCGGCTCCAGCAGCCGCTTTGTCTCCTCCTCCTGAGTGAAAGGCATGAGGAAAATCAGCCCTGGCTTCCCCACACCAGCAGCACTAACCCCACGGGATAAGGCAAGTCTCACCCTTGCCTCACCAGCCAGGAGGGCTCCCTGTGCACCCCAGTGTAACCCAGAAGAGCCTCAGCTCTGCCAGGCACCTCTTTGCCCAATTCTTTTGCTTTTTCTCAGATGAAGCCCCATCAGCCACAAAGGCAGCAAGTGGCTGAAATCAGGCAGCACATTTGGAGTGGCCAATCCTGCAGGCAGGAGTCTGCAGCCAGCACCAACCTGCATGAAACCCTGCAGCTAATGAGGACCTACTGTGCCCCACCCCAGACTGGGCACCACAGCGAGCCCACCCTGGCATAGCAGGGGGCTCGCCTGAGCCAGGTGAACCCCACCTGCCAGAGCCCAGGGACCTAGCAGAGTCACTGCTAGGAAAAAGGCAGACAACATGGAGTCTGGGGGTATGGGAGTAACAAGGTCCCACCTAGGAGGAAGGAGTGGATGTTCCTGGAGGATAACCCATCTTCTCCCTCAGCTCCTCCATTTCTT